CCATTTTATTTCATGCCTGAATTTCTATGAAGTTTGACAACTGTAACAAGACTTCACTGTACCACACTCCTTGCAATTCCAAAGACCAGAGCTAACTTTTATACTGGTTTTAAGTTTGTTTTGACTTTTGTTAGTGCAATTTTTTTTACTGTATTTCAAATACTCACCTGACATATTTGTAGAAGTTGAGAGTGATCCATCCGCGGAGATAAATGAAGATGAGGAAAGCGAAGGCAATAAGGAATGTGTCTGGAATGGGAAATGAGTCAAATAATCAGATAAATTTATTGAAGCAGAACAAAAAGAGATAAATTTTGAATAACTTTGAAAACTCACGGCGCAAATTCTTTCCGGTATGTGGCTCAGCGGCGCGGGGGTAGTCAGTAACGGGAGCACGTGGGAGATCCGAAGAGAGGCTGAAAAGAGTGCAATAAAAAGGGTCGATTTTTCGATCTATGTAGCTTTATGAGCTTTATGATACGATAAAGATTAAGCTAAATCAAAAACTCACTGATCATTATCGGTCACATAGAGGATGTAGTAGGTGAGAATTGAGAACGTGAGAAAAAGGAGCTGAAGGATCTGGAAGCGTTGATTTATTAGTGATTTTAGATGAATATTGGCTCTACTAGTGCTTTGGTCTTTTCAGTTTGAGTATTTTCTAGAATTCTTAGAATTTCTAGAGTTCTAGAATAAAATGTCAATGTCTTTTCAGAATTCAATTTGAAATCTTCACTTTATTTGGGGTCAGGGCTGTTCCCAAGCAAATTTTTGGCTTTGTAATTTAGACTGTCAAATGAATTCTTATTTCTGACTTGGCTTGTCATTAAGTCTTTTTAGAGTAATTGTGTCAACTCACAATCTACAATTTAAGGCTGGGAAAGAACCCAGACCTAGGAAAAGTTCCAAGGAAAAACCTCTAATGTTTAAGATCAATGAAAAAGAAATTTTAAATTTTAATCTTAAAATTAAAGCCTTTGCTTTCAAAACTCACGTAAATGATTCCGTAGGCTTGCATGAAGAGTGGCTTGAGTGTGATAAGTGAGAGGATGCCGAGAAGCATGATTGGGAGTGAGACGCCGAAGATGATTCCCTAAAATTTCGAAATATATCTAAGAAATTTGAATCAAAAGATGAAACTTAAAATATTTTTACTTACCAATGGCAAACGGGCATCTGGAGTTCCAAGGAAAGTCGAGGCACCCAAAAAGATCAGAAAGACCGCATCGAGAACGAGAAATACAGCAAATCCGATCTAAATAAGTTAGATAAAGATATGGATATCTGTCTTAAGATAAAGATATGTCTAAAGAATTAAAATCTGTATCTTTTTCTAACCTTAGCTTTTCCCATCTTGCAACAGCAATGATAATTCTCCTCTCGAATCGGGGTTCTTGGATGGATGTGCTTTGGACGCCAACACCACATTTTTCTTCGTTTTTTTGAGTCGCTAAAGATGAGCATTATAAATTAATGGTCGGTCAGAAGGAAACCAGGAAATGAGAGAGATAAATGACGAATTGAGTTTGATTGATAAGAGGATCAAAGGAAGAACTCAAATCAATTGAAACTTTGTAGAAATTGGCATAGTAATGCTTAAATTAGTGAAAGTCTCATTATTACCAGTGATCCTTCAGTAAAATGTCAAATTGAATCTTTACTGAAGACTGAGGCGAATGGTAGATTTCCAAATTTCCTAGCTGGACTTTAAATCACAAGTCATTAAAAGTAAAATTTAATTTTAAAGATTCAGTGTCCTGTTTTGCTACAATATGCCTTTTTCAATGAGGGTTTTTTCTTTAAAGCTAACAAGAATTTCATATTCTCTTTAGTATTAAAGATTCCAACTAAAGCTAAAGATCTCATTAAATTAAAAGTTCATTCATCAGTCACTCATCATCATCAGTCATTAAAGTTAAAAGTGAACAGAAGCCAAGTAAACAGTAAACAAATTCTGATTAAACTTTTCAATTTAGACTGTCAAATGAATCTATATAATGAATTTTTATTGTTAAAAGTTATAAAACCTGTTAAGAATCAATCTAGCTACAAGAATTGAAACTGAGAAGCTCAATCATTATATAGAGCTTATTTTTCTTATGAAAGGGCAAGGGGTGGAGCTATTGGTGCACTTTTTGAGGGAATACCCTTTCTTTGATCTTTTCTTTTCTTTCTTTTCTTTCTTTTCCCCTATTCCCCTTGGCTTCAGTCTAGACTTGCACTTTTGTTTTCACTTTTCGCAACAAGGAAAAGAGATGGAAAAGGGTAAGAAGCAAAAGAAGAGATCAAAATGAAAAGGAAAATGAAAACAAGTCAACAATAGAATGTAGGTAGATATAAGAATATAAAAATAAGTATTTAGATCATAGACTTTAAAAGGAAAAACTTCTAACAAACAAAAATCGAGCTTATTCTCTCTTTTATCTCTTCTAAAATCTTTCTTCATAGACTTGTTAAATAGAAGTGAAAGGAAACTTGAATGCTTTAGAAATTTGAGATAAAATACTTAACTTGTTAGGCTAGCTTTGATTTGATTGTGAGCTGGATCTCGAGATTGAAAGAGAACGAAAGTGCTTCCCTTTTTCAGTTCTCTTAGAATGGAAAACAAAACCTAAAGCACAAAACATATTTTTGATAGTTCTGAAAGAATTTTTCAAGTTAGACAGACTATTTAGATGTACTGGGGTTCTAAAATCAATGAAACCAAAACAGTAAATCCAAACTGGACAAGCAAAACAAAATGACAAGGAAGAAAAGGGTAAGAGTTAATGATCCAATAACTTATCAATTATTAAAGTAAATATTAAAGTAAGTAGCTATTAAAGTAAATTTCATAGCTCAGTATAAATGTTAAAGTCAATCATAATAAATTCCCCGAGCAGATTGTACTAGGAATTGTACTGGGAATGTTGTAAAGCGCTGCTCGGGCTCTAAAAATACCCCTCCGATTCCCCGATGCACTTTAGTTTTCGCCTTTGAGAGAATCCAAATTCTCCAGCGAAAACAAGTCAACAAATTTCACAACTTCTCAAAATCTTCCGAAAATCTCTTAAAAATATAACATTTGATTGGATAGCGATAATTATCTGTCAGAGACAAAGGAAATCGAGAAAGTGACAATAAATTTGGTTTGCAAAATTGATTATTGTGAGGTAGGAGATTGGAAAAGTGCAATTGTACTGGGTTTTGATTCATTGTAAATTTGTGGAAGCAATAATATTGTATCTAGAGTTCAAGAACACAAAAAAAGTCAATATTGTCTAATGTGCCTTAGTATTCACATGTTGGTACACTTTTAAAACCCGTTAAACATTCATTGGTGGCAAATCGGCTATGAATTTGTTAATTTGTGCGGCATTGGGGACAAGAGATTGTTTAAACTGTGAACGGCTGCACCAACTTCCGGTTTATCGATTTCTGCCCAATATAGTCAAACTTGACACCTTTTCTCTGAGCCAGGGCTGTTCCAAAGCCATTTCATAACCACAAAACCAGGCGAAACTAGATCCTAACCAACTCAGAGGCCAAGTCTTGGTCTGGCCTGGCTTACAAGGGAAGATCAATTGACTGGGTCGGTCAAATGCTATCCAACCTATACCATTCGACGCAGAATTGTTTGCTGATTTCCAATAGGTATTCCGTTTTTGCTAAATGACAATCTGTCAAGAGTTATAAGCGTCTAAAGTTTTGTTGGGACTCATGTTTTGTTAGGATTAAAATGTGGTCGTTTGGATCTTACTGGCCTCCTTGCGAACCCGACTCGCTGCAGCCGTGACCGAGTGGTACAGCGTTCGTATCCAGAGCGGCCCTCACAAGTTCGACCCTCACTCTGATTTTTTTGGTTTTTTTCAAGAAGAGCTGACAATTTCATTTTCATTCTCACATTTTCAAGAGAGCTATTACAGTTGATCTTCTCTTGTTAGTTTTGCTGCAGGTCTGAGTAGCAGTATTGGAGCACGCCTGAACCTGGCTTCTGGTCTGGCTTACTCGATCCAACCTGGTTTGGACATCTATACTGCCCCGTTTTTTCAGTAAGTTCAACTTCTTTTACTAACTTTTACCTTGCATTGATCATTAAAATTCTCTTGTTTATCTGCCCTTTTTCCCAGTCTAAAAGAGGATGTCCTTTTAGAGCTCAGTTCCCTTTTCGGAAAAGAAAAGTGCGTTTCGTGCATTCTCAAGCTATTTTTTGCCTTCTCTGCATTGCTTGTTGTATTCATAGTGTAGTGTTGACAGAATTTGGAATAAGGAAAGAAAAAAAATGAATGTTGTGTCTGGGCTAAATCACCAAAAATACAGCTAGAAATTGAACTAAAGCTGAAAGAGAGCTGTGAGATGACTAAAAATAAGATTAACAAAAATAAGATTAACATTGCCTTACAGTGATGAAAAATGAGATGGAAAATGAAACTTGGAAAGGCTAAAGTCTATTTTAGCTGAATTTTTACGAGCTGGAGCTTTTAAATCAACTCTAGCGATAGCAAGCACTAGTTACAAGTGTGCAGTTGGGCTTGAACACAGCATAAACTATAGATTCTAACTTTTCCCTAAATCTGGCTTTAATGATTCAAATTCTAGCTTTAGCGGCAAGGTTTGAAAGCGAAAAAAGTGCATTCTGCTTTTTGTTTTTCTTCTTTGGGTTCTCTGGGTTTTTTTTTCTTTTTTTCCTTTTTCTTTCCACACTTGTTTACGAGCTGGAGTGAACCAGGAAAAGGGCAGGACAGAAAACAAAAAAAGCAAAAAAAAGAAAGGAAAATCGGTCTACTATTGCGTAATTTTTATCAAATTTGTTTATTCAAATTTATTTACAAAAGTAGATTTTAGGAAATAGATCAAAAGCCAAGAAAAAAGCAAAATATTGTAAGAGAAATTAGGTAAAATGTGGTGAGATCAACTGCTCAAGTATTCAAAAAGTTAAAAGTATTCAATTTTTTTAACAAGATTGATCAGCTTTTATCTTATTTACACTTAAATTTGTACATTGTTCAATCTTGTACTCATTTTTCGATATCGTGAGCCAGATTGTCGGAGGCGTGAGCGAGATTCGAGCCGTGATGCTCGATGGCTAGCTGGCGATCGCTGAAAAAGCAATTTTCCCAAAAAAATGGCTTAGATAGCTTTAGAATTGTGTAACAATTTGAAACTTGAAACAATTTTAAATTAAAACTTGGCCAACTTACCGTATGTATTTATAATATGAATAGGTGACACTTCCACGCCAAAGAACGAAAGCGAGGGTGGCAATGAAAACGAGAACAACACCTGAAAAGTTTTGAAATTGAGCTTTTTGTAAATGAATACGATTAAATAAAAGATTTATAAGTTTAAATTTAAGTTAATATTAAGAAAACTTAATTTATATTACTAAAACCCACCAAAAATCCCTCCAAACGTTCTTGGTTTGGTGATCTTGCGCTCCTCCACAAAAGTGCTAAACAAGAACCGTTTTAAAGCTTGGAAATGATTTTCAAAGAATATATACAGTTCAGTTTTCTCAAGTATATCTTTAAGGATCTTTAGCTTTAATTGGAATCTTTAAAACTAAAGAGGATATGGAATTCTTGTTAGCTTTAAAGGCAAAACCCTTATTGAAAAAGGTATATTGTAGTAAAACAGGATACTGAATCTTTCTAGCACTATGAAATGTTAAAAGAGTTAAGCAATTGGTTTCCTACTGAGATTGATAGGAAAATAATGATATAGCGAACCTGGACGGAAGAATGAAAAGAATCATAACAAGGAAACCAATGACAAGAACGGTGAAGCCCATTTGCAGGATCTAAAAAAGAGGCTGTTTGAAAGCTTTAGCTACCTAGATACCTAGAAGCTAGATACCTAGAAGCTAGATACCTAGAAGCTAGATACCTAGAAGCTAGATACCTAGAAGCTAGATACCTAGAAGCTAGATACCTAGAACATGGCTAGAACTAGAACTAGAACTATGACTTACATACAGCGACCAATAAAGCTGCATGTGAAGCGGTTTCAACGTAAAAAGTGCCAAGAATCCGATGAGGGTGATGGGAAGACAGAGAACAATAAGGATTATCTAAAAATTAGATTTAGATTTAGATTTAGACTAAAAAGCGTGCAAGTCTTACCAATCCAAGTCGGTTTTCGGGTGAATTTTGAGTGATGAGAATGACACAGAGGAGAATGAAGAGGAAATCGATGAGGAGACAAGCAATGAATCCATACTAAAGCAAAGTAGTTGTACAGCTTATAATTTTGCAATCCAATTACACTTTGTCCTAACTAGTACAAGTTTGGAGCTCAAATATAAGAATCAGAAGTAGTCGAAAGCGAGAATTGCTTGTGAAATCATAGCCAAATACTATAAGATTTCTAATTCCGTAATGTTTCTATTAAAATGACACTAAGTAGACAAAATTTTGTACTTTTAAAGCTTGGATTTTGGGGGAAACAAACAGAATTTTTGTGTTTCAAACGACTAATAGAGGTTTATAAAGGGTTTTTCAAACTAAAAGAGATTTTATGGTACTTTAGTCGGTGTAAAAGATGTATAACCTAAGAATTATCAATATTTTTATGTAACATTCATTTGTTATTTTACTTTCGATTTCATCCGTCCACAACACGAGCGATAGTCCTCTTCAACAACCGGTGTAAGAGGATTTCCGACAGCATGCCAACACCAGGTTGTCATTCTCGATTATGATCAAAGAAAATAATTTCAGTGAAAAATAGAATCAGTTGTTTACTTTCCAATTTTGGGAAGTATTTTGAGGATTCGTTTTCGAGGAGTGGCCGAGAGGGTGGAAAATTGCTAGCTACGTGCCCTGGGACTGCCCTTTTTTCATGGATGAGATGAAAATGCATTGGGACTCCCAGAAGGGGTCTTTGGAAAGACCTTCTATGGTTGACAACTCGTAAACAAACCCCTGAAGGGAATCTTGGGCATTGTTTTGAACTCATCTTTGAAATGTGTACTTGCGGCTCAAGCAAGCTTTATAAGCACCAGTTTGTTCGGAGATTGTAATTATTGTCGACACCCGCGTTGGATCGATTTCATTTCATCAGACTGACTTTGCTTTTCGCTGGATTATCTGAGCTAATCAAACTGTAATTGGTATCATTCAAAAGCCCGAGGTTCTCTCCTCAGGTGTTCTAGGGGTTTTAAAGAACATAATTCTGAGAATTCAGACTCAAAACAGTCAAAATAACGGATCAACTTTCAGGTGAGCTGAAACAAAATTTGTTAGGATTTATTGTTAAACATGGCAAAATAGTGACAAGGTACAAAATACAAAAATACGTAAGTGATAAATCATTCCAATTGATTTGATTCAACATTTTAAATACAGTCGAACCTCTCTATAACGAACCTCGATATAACGTAAACCTCTCTATAACGTAAGGCGTGACCGGTCCCGGCCAAATGTAATACAAAATGTCTATAAAAAAACCTCGATATAACGTAACTCTGTATAACGTAAACCTCTATACAACGGAAAATTTTGCCTGAAAATATGCAATTTTTTGTTCCATATAACGGATTTTATGCTAAAACGTGGATATTTCTTCCAACTACCATGCTCTTTGGATGGACTATTCTAATCTGTGGCCTTTTTGCCACAATTTAAAAGAAGAAAAAAAATCACTTACATAGATTCTTAATAAGTTTTTTGCGTTCATATATCATTCACTTATTCTTTTTACGTGCTTATTTTCTGTATTAAATGATATTTATAATTTTTCAGGCGAGGGAGCGAAAGAAGGCGACCCGGAAAAGGATCGATCTAGCTGAAAAAAAGCGAATTCTTGATGCTTCAACTTCGAAAGGAGTAACGGATTTAGCAAGGGAATTCAAGCGGCCAATTTTGACCATTTCTTCGATTTTGGGCCAAAAGCAAACGATTTCTAATGCGATCAATGACGGTTCTCAGGGCAAGCGAGCACGAGTGAAGAATAGCAAACACGAGGACCTGGAAGGTGCGGTTATTTCTTGGTTGAAAGAGATTCGAAGCAACAATGAATGTGTGGACGGAAATTTGCTTCGAACAAAAGCTCTGGAGCTTGCAAAGTTGATGGGTATTACCGATTTCCGAGCTAGCAATGGATGGCCAGAAAAGCTGAAGCATAGGCATGGCATTGTTTTTTGTTCCCTAGAAGGAGAAGCAGCCGAAATCGACCTGAACAATGTTGAGCAGTGGAAAGATGAAGTATTGAAGGGACTCTTGAAAGAATTTGAGCCAAAGAATGTTTTTAACTTGGATGAAACAGCTCTTTTTTACAAGCTCTTACAAGCTCTTTTTTTTTTAAAACGTTGTCTTTCAAAGGCGATAGATGCACAAGTGGAAAGAAGAGCAAGGATAGAGTCACTGTTCTCGTCGGATCAAATATAGATGGAAGCGAAAGATGCCCTTTATTCGTGATTGGTAAATCGAAGCATCCGCGTTGCTTTAAGGATGTCAAAAAACTTCCTGTTTTGTACGAAGCAAATTCAAGAGCGTGGATGACCAGCGAATTATTTGAGAGCTATCTCAAGAAATGGAATTCAAATTTGATCAAATTTAATCGGGAAATTTTGTTGTTTATTGATAACTGTCCAGCACATCCGAAGCTCAATTTATCAAACATTCAGATTAAATTCTTTTTGCCGAATGCAACTGCGGCAATCCAACCAATGGATATGAGAATAATTAAAAATCTGAAGGTCAGATACCGAACAGGATTGTTGAAACAAAGAATTGCAGCTGTCGATGCAAAGGCCAAATTCGAATTTAATCTTTTGGATGCACTATACTTACTCGAAGAATCCTGGAATGACGTTAAAGTGGAGACGCTTTCAAATTGTTTTCGTAAGGCCGGATTCAAGAGATGTATGCAAGATGAGCCGCCATTTATCGAAAACAATAACGACGACGATAACTCGCTACAATCATTGCAGGCTATCTGGAATCAACTTATTGATAGTGAAGACGTTGATCGATCAATCAATCCTTTGGAATTTGCTTGCGCCGACGAAAATGTTGTGACTACAGGGTTAAGATCGCTAGAGGAAATTGCACTAGCTGCTAAAGGTACAGATTATATCGTTTAAAGTAATGCTAATTTAAGGAAAAGATCAATTATGTTTCCTTAGGTTCGCAACTACAGTCGATTTCTTCTGATAGCGAGGATGATGAGCCAATCGTTGAAGACGTGAAAGAGCCGATAGTGACACGATCCGAGGCATATCTACATCTTCAAAAGCTCAAGATATGTATATATTTGTGAGGAATAACCCTAATTCCGAAATTGTTAAGGCTTTAGCAACTTTTGATAATTTTTTCTTTGATCAGGCTTTTTTTTCTCCTAAACAATCCCGTTTGACTAACTTTTTTGTTAAACTTTGATGCTTTTTGATAATTTTTTTACCTTTTTTGTTGAGTTTTTGCAATAAATATGTTCCAATACCTCTACATAACGTAATGGTTGCAATAAACCCTGCGTTTTTGATTCTATATAACAAAACCTCGATATAACGTAAACCTCTATATAACGTAAACTATAGCCGGTCCCGTGAGTTACGTTGTAGAGAGGTTCGACTGTAATTCCATCCGGCTTCTTGTGAAGCTTCTGGATCAATTCCGTTGTAGAGCCCTCGCTCAGTAGCGACTTCTAAAATTAAAACCATATAACATGTTATACGTTTAAATCATTCTGTTTTTTGTTATAAAGATTCTAATTACTTTTGTCATCATATTGTTGTAGGGAAAGACGTTTTCCAATATTGGACAGTGTTGGAGTCTCCACAAATATCAAATTCCTATCGCTGTCAAAGGTGTCCTCGAGCAACTAAATTTTTCGTTGCCTAGAAAAGAATCCCAAGTTTACTTTGTTCCGATCTCGTGCAATCAATGTCGATGGCCTCAGCCTTGACAAGCTACCCCCATTCTCTTCGCGGGTCGGATGGTCAGAGAAAAGCCACAAACGGAAACCCCATAGGCCCATTTTCCCATTTTCCCATAGGCCTTTGTAGGTTTTTTTCATCAAACAATCTCCAGAATGGTCCTTTGAGATGTCTGGGTTCTATTTGCAAATAAAAGCTTTTCTTTTTTGGATTGAATGTGTTGGTATTGAAATATTTGAGAAGTATTTATTTTTATCGTTGTAAGTTTTCGGAACTGAATTTTCTAGTCAAAGCATAATAAAATTGAAATACAACAAAGATGTGAACAAAGAAGAATTGAAAATCTTTCTTTTTAAGAAAAAAATAGAAAAAACGAGAAGCGATGTATAATAGAAGTACCTATTATTTCGAAATGATGGCAAGTTTGAGTTTTCCGATGACTATCAACATAGTAAAAGTTACTATAAATCAAACAAGTAAGCCCAATTAGGACACTAATTTTTTTCTATAAAAATCTGCGATAAAATTTCCCCTTGAAAAAGGCAAGTGGCACAACGACAATAATGAATATTATACCACAACATATCATTTGTGGGAGACTGAGATAATGACTTCTGTAATCGAGCACATAAATGGCCATCACAAGACGCAAACGTTGAGTCAAATCGAACTCTGCTGGCACTGAAAACGGATTCAATGGAAAGGAAAAAAAAATCAATACTCAAGGAAATGATGAGTCCGAATATTTATGGTGTCTAGAAAAGTTTGCTAACTTTCGCTACCCAATTATGCGTTGGTGTGCCGTTGGTTTCTTTTAGAGATATTCGGACTCATCATTTCCTTAACTATTCTTTTTTTTCATACTCTTCTGTTGAATCTGTTGAAGAGTAAACAAGAAAAACCGATAAAGCCTACTTTACCTTGGCTTTAGCGATTATTCAACCACCCTAATCTCAGCAGTGGTTCTGAGTGGGAACTTGGGAATTCCAAGCCTAGTCACGGTTCTATAGCTTTCAGATCTAATAGTGTGAGTGTCGTGTTCAGCATGCATTCTGAGTTTGGGTCTAACATTGAATTTTTGAATACCCACTTTCAATTCTCCATCGATGAGTGACGTATGGGGGGCGGCAGTTGCACGGAGTTCCCGTCCTTTCCAGGGGGATTTTCACATATGAGCCAATCACTCGATCATCCATCGTTTTCAACTTAAAGACTTTTGTTTTCTCAATCAAAATTAAGCTCTATTAAAGTGATTTTGAAAAAAAACAATATGGTGATATCATGCTCAAACTCTAAAAGCAAGGAAAAACCATTCCGTCATTTAAGCTTAATGGAAAACCCACCTCAAATGCTTCGTGCGAGGAGGAACCCTTCGTTTGAACTCTGAAGACGGACTTTTCTACAGCATACCTAAGAAAACTTACATTTTGAACTGAGGACTCCCATCCAATGCATTGACCAATCGTATAAGGCCATTATCTTTTTGATAGACAACGTTGCCAAACTGAAAGTTCCATTGCTTTCAATTATTTGGAATAAGGCTTACCTCAGAGACCGGGTTCTTCTCGTATTGACTCGTCGTCGAAACGGGGACTTTAAGGAACTCCTGAAAGTTGTTATTTTTCACCAAGAATTCACAATTCAAGTATGGTAGCCACAATAATGATCAAAAGTGCTTAAATCTACAGGGTGCGCCAAAATAATGGTGACGCGCGCGAATTATCTCATTTTTCACTTTTTTCATGTCTTTGTCTTTTTTTTCTGCAATATTTAATTTGACAACTATTTTTCAGGTATGAAATCCAAAAAGGATCTGCGCCCAGCTATCATTTGTCTGCATCAGCAAGGAAAACGAATTGCTGAAATTTCGCAACTTTTGCAAGAGAAGAAAAAAGATGTTTTTCGAGCTATAAAACGGGAACGAATGAAGACCGCAAAGAAAGGGGACGCCCATCTAAAGCCAACACTTTGACAAATCGAAAAAAGATCTTCACAAGACTCAAGAGGAATGCAACCACCACAAAGAACTTGGCTCGGAAATTTGTAGAGATAAGGAACCAAATTTGTAGAGATAAGGAATTCGGAGCTATTGGCATCGGAGCAACTTCGGTTCGACGAATCCTCAAAAAAGCTGGATTCAAGGCAAGAAAACAAATAAAAGGTCATTTTTTGAGCGATGAAATGAAAAAGAAGCGTTTTGACCGATGTAAACAACTAAAAAGACGTTTCGCTGCAAACCGTCACCGTCAGATTCTCTTTACGGATGAGAAGTGGTTTGACGTCGAACAGCGCATAACAGTCAAAACGACAGAAGCTGGTCCAAAAATCCACTTCCATTAAATGATAGAATTGTTTCAAAGCAACAAAAGCCACAACAAATAATGGTTTGGGCAGAAGTTACGTACAGTGGAAAAACACCATTAATTTTCTAGGGTAAAAGTCGACAAAAAGATGTACTTGGAGATGCTCAAGGATGAAATTTTACCCTGGCCTCGGACTCATTTTGTAACTAAAAGCTGGACATTTATGCAAGATGGAGCTCCTTCTCATAAAGCTGCCGAAACACAAGACTGAATAGCCAACAACTTCCCTGATTGGATTACAGTAGATATTAGCCCGCAGCGCCCAGGAGAATGGCCCTCAAATTCTCCCGATTTGAACGTTTTGGACTATTCCATTTGGTCGATCTTAGAGAGCAAGGCATGTGCAAAGTCCCACATATCGGTAGACTTTTTAAAACGGGCACTAATTAAGGCTTGGAACGATTTGTCTATCTCCACAGTTCAAAAGGCTATCGATGAATCTCCAAAGCGTTTGAACCAATGTATTGCTGCTAATGGTCGTCATTTTGAGCAATAATCGTTGTTTACATAATGTTCTTGTTAAAGTTAATAAAAATTATTGTTTTCTAAAAGTTTTTACTGGAAAAGATTTGTGTTTTCTGCAGTTACTATTTCGTTACCATAATTTTGGCGCACCCTGTACAAACCGCTCTTCAATTTCTGCGCAATGGCTTCAAAAAGGCCAGGAAATGAGGACAAATCTTCGAAAATAGTTTTGTAGTACTTATGTGGTCATGTTAGTGAATGTTTTTACAGAACAAAAAGGTTTTACCCAAGTTTCTGAAAAAAGCAAAAAAATCAATACATTTTGCTCTCGATCGACGATCCGAATCTCGTCGTTATGATGAGACCACGGACACTTCCTCTTGGTGAGGAGAGTCTTGAGAATTTGAAAGTGCTGAAATTAGTTCAAGTTTAAAGCCATTAGACTACTCGGCAATACAGGGTGACACAAAAGTTCGAAGCCACCTTGTTTTTCGGTCGTCAAATTCAGCTTTTAAGATAGCAAAAAACTATCCAACTCTGAATATTCTTATAAAAGTTTGTAATTATAGCAAGTTTGTGTTAAATTTAAGGCTTTACAAGCAAAAATCAAGTCTTTTAATTGGCAAAATATCGCCAGAATCAACACAAATGCTTGGTCGCTTGAATTTCTCTCATCTCAAGTTCAATCAAAACATGTTCAATCAAAATTATCACCTCTTGTTGTTGAGCATCACTGATTGTCCACAGACTGGGATTCTTTTTCTGAAAATTTTGTGTTTTTTCAGGCTTTGAAGCCTGATTTCGGATCGAATTTTGTAGAAGCCAATTTAAGGTGTTAGTTCAAATAGAAGCTTAATCCCGTTCATTTACGAACCCTTTCCAAAACGAGAACGGGCAACTCGAGCAAACGCTCCAGTCCATAATTTGGAAGATTTGATGACGTCACTAAAATATTGAAATTCAAAAAATTCGCTTTTATCCGTACAGTTCAAAATCTCGTATGACGGGCTTTGATGGTTCGTCATTTTGGTTTGATGGACTAAAGTTGCAAATTTGTTGGAGATTTTTACAAGTAACCAATAATTTCAAGAAAAGGTAAAAAAGACATTTAAATCTTGAAGGAAATTTGATTGTTCTCGATGGTTGTTGTTCTCGATGGATGATAATGGGTGACAGGGTAACGAAATGCTAGTCAAAGTTGTTCAATAAACTTAGATTTCGAGTATATAGAAACTATTTCTACTTTTATTTAATATGATTAGTTTTACATGAAAAAAGCATATTGAATAAATGAGTTTCGCGCAAGGCGTTTTTTGTTTTGTTCAAAAGAGGAGGATCCAGATGTTGGGGACTACGAGACTGAATGGGGCATTACACTTGATGATTCCGCTTTTCCTGCATTGTAATTAGGGTCAAAAAGACTTTGAAAGCTATGTCTATTTCGGGATGTCGGGACTCCATTTGAAAAAGTCTTTTTCATTTAAATGGATATTAAAGGCCAAAAGTTACTGAAAAAAAAGTAAAATTCTCGGAATTTTGCAAAATACTGAAAATTTTATCTTTTCGTGTCTCACAAGGGAATGGCCAGAAGTGGAGGTGAGCGTTTGAGTTGAGTCATACCTCATTTGATAGATCTCATAATGAATATTGATGACTAAAAAAACCAAAAAATTTCTATTACTTGCAAAAAGATTATTCAAAAATATTGATTCAGTAAAAAGTTCCAGCCCCGTCAGAGAGGGTCAAAAAAAGTCATTTTTTCTCCTTGTCGGGCTCCATTTCTCGTTGTAGAGTTACTTTGGTCATCAATATCCATCATGAAATCTATCAAATGAGGTATGACGCATCTCAAACGGCCACATTCACTTCTGAGCATTCCCTTGTCAGTAAGAAGGCATCGGTGAGTATTTCCCAATGACCGTCAAAGCGTGTAAATAGAATTTCTTTTCGGGTCGAGCCCAGGCAACCCAGTCAACAAAAAAGTTAACCCAAACAGTTTCCTTTTCTCTTGGCACTCACAAACTCGTTAGATCAACAACACCGGCGAAAAAACGGTGACCATTTCCAAAAGTTTTCACTTGTCATTTCACATATTTCTTTGCCGCTTTTGAATTATGAGGTCGGTTCTTATTGGCGTCTCATTGATTCCTGTAGCTCGTTAACATATTAACATAGTAACCTAGAAACTTCACGATTCACTCGATTGTCAACCTTGTCAACTCGAAAAACTGTTAGGTCTATCTCTATTGTACTCTATAGAACTATTTAAATTGGTGATCTAGTCTTATTTTGATAAGGGTGAGCTGTTTGAAGTGTATTTTATAGGCTGTCGTCTCACTGTTGATAACTATTCTCATGGAAAACCTGTAAAACCTATTACCTAAAATCGCAAAAGTCTAGTTTGTCGAGAGTAGTCCCAGAAGTAATAATATATTTGGGGAACCTTGTGAACTTTCCTAGCCCCCACTTGCATAAATATCTAAAACAATTTCACACGAGAACATGAACAATTTTTTTATTTGTTTTCAGATTGTCGATCTTCGTCTTTACCCTCTTTATCGGTACGATCGCCGCCGTGAGCACCTGTTTGACGAGTCGAAATTGTGATATCGGACAATCGTGCATCGTATTTTTCTGCGTTGATCAGCTCTCCACCCGAGGGCAGCAGGACAACAACCAAAACTACAATCCCAATTACAATTCGAACTATAATCAAAATTCTCCGAATATGTACAATCCTAACTATAACCCGAACTATGCCCAAAACGGCTACAACTCCAACTATAATCCACCATATGGATCTTCGAATAACTGAAAATAAAATTGCTGTTCTTTGCTCATTGCACTGTTTGCTGCTCTTTTAAGCTTTAACTAATGACTTTAACTTTGACCACTAATGATGTGCTAAATGCCAATATTATATGTCAACTATTCCATGCAATTATTGGGTTGTCCAGTTATGAATGCGCGTTTTTTACTATTTTGTAAATTTCTCAGGATACCAAAATCAAGAAAAAGATATACATGAGTATTATTCGAAAGCTGAAGATCTCCTCTACATTTTGATATAAAAAGTTTTTGAATTTGTTCAGCTTTTGGGCAAATTGACTGCACAGAAGAAGAGGTGACCAAAAAATGGAAGGGTGCCTTTCGATCAAGTTTTGGCTCCGCTCAAATTGAGTTAATCGTTTGATGTTTGGCCAATAGATATATCAATACAACTTGTTTTTAAATATAACAATTTCAGAGCATCTTTACTTTTCTGGGCGGTTATTTTACACCATAAAACTTGAGGAGTAGCTAAGCTGGAATGGGTTTTTTCGAAAACGACCTCTCCATTTGTGCAGTCAATTTCCCAAAAAGTTGAATGAATTCCAAAACATTTTTATTCCAAAATGTAGAGGAGATCTTCAACTTTCGAATGATATATAACACTCATATACATCTGTTCGATATCTTGAGAAATTTACAAAATAGTAAAAACGCGCATTCATAACTGGACAACCCAATATGTAAATAAACCAATTTTATGCTAATGAATAAATATTTGCAAAAGATGGCACAAAAAGTCACACAAACAAACTTGCAGTCCGAGTAATCAAATGGTTCAATGTTTTGATGCAAAAATATCATACAATCATAACCTATTGCCGGCCTTTACTCGAGTATGCTACCATCGTATGGTCACCTTCCATTAAGAAACTTATCACCTTGGTTGAAAATGTTCAACGGCGTTTCACTAAAAAAGCATACACTCGTTGTTTCCCTTCTTCTCTTATTGCAAATTATGAGACTAGACTTATAGTTTTTGATTTAAAACCCCTTTTATCGCAGTATTTACTTTGATCTTATTTTTCGCTATAAAATTCTTTTCCACCCTAATTCGCATCCAGAATTTCAAAGCCTCTTGAAAATTGTGGAAATTCCTAGAAATACACGTAGTCATCCTTATCAAATTTCAGTCGGTTCTCATCCCCATCATCTTTCCCTTTATTCTCCGAATATGTACAATCCTAACTATAACTCGAACTATGCCCAAAACGGCTACAACTTCAACTATAATCCACCATATGGGTCTTTGAATAACCGAAAATGGGATTTCTGTCCTTTGTCCATTGCACTGTTTGCTGCTCTTTTAAGCTTTACGCTTTGAATGATGTGCTAAATTTTTCAAAAACTTTTATACCAATGAGTAAATGAATAAATTAGTTATTGAACAAGAACAGTTTGAACGCTTCCACCTTCAATTTCCAAATTTTTATGCACCTCTTTACGGGGGTGCGTTCCAAAATTTTTTCAAGACGCTTTTGCAAGGTCTTGAGATTAATCCTAACCTCAAACTTGGGTAATTAAACCAAAGAGTGAGGTCTCTATCGTCGTATCAGTGGAGGCCGTGTGATAGATGCTTTTTTTTCCTACGAGACACACTAAAAGTACACACTTTTGCATCGTCTGCGTCTCTTCAACAAGGGATTTCCAGGTCCCAGAACGAAAATTGGTTGTCTATCAAAGGAAATGTTTGGAAAAATACTTGCCTACCAAAATTGGGTATCATTGATTGAATATCTAATTTTATTCTTTGTAAAAGTTATTCAGTAATGCCAAATTTGGCATCAATTCGCTTCTCAACGATTCCGAATGAGTTGAAAGGGTTAATATTGGAAAAATTGGGTCCAAAAGAGAATTTTCAGCTTTTAAAAACCAATCGTTTTCTTCGCTACAAAATTTTATTCAACGGTTTATTCGGGAAACGAGTTGATGAAGTGAATTTCGTTTTTGACGAGCGCCCATCATGGAATTATTACGGGCCAAGTATTTTCCCTTGCACTTCAAAATCTTTCACTGCTACTGTCACGAAAAATGGATCTTTTCACGAATTTGACATCTTACAACAAAATTTTATCTCTATCTCACTTCTACAAAATGTTACAACTTCCCAAAATTTGTCTCTCTCCGATCGTCTTCGCGATTGTCCGATGACAAAAAATTACGGGAATCTCGATGAATTGCTCAAAATTTTGATGAGAAAACTGAATTTTGTGAAAAATATTTATATCCAGGGAGTTACAACAAGATTTTTAAACACGATCTGTGAGGGATTTTGCTTCAAAGTCACGGGATCCGCAAATTTCCAGACAACTGTGCGGGGAGAGATGAAAAGCGCTGACAATTTCATGAATTTCATCGAAAATCGACTGAGATTTTGCAGAAAAATTTCAATTCATGGTATATGTGAAAATTTGCTGAACGCTTTATTGAAGACTCGAGTTGAGATAGTTGAAATTTTGTCGGACGGCGAATTTCTGGAGTGTTTCCCGAGATGGATCGTGAGAAACGGATTGCCCAGTGAGAACGAGAATTGCTCAATTCTCATTTCTGTTCCATTTTTTACGTCAAATCACGCGGGATTCCGGGATAATAGCACAATTGATCCGTTTACTTGCAATCCTTTATTGAAAAGTGTGAAAGATATGGAGACTTGCAGAAAAATGGAGCTGGCAATGAGAGAAAGGACTGATGAAGAAATTAGGAGACTGAATTCAGTACAGTGCTTTCAAAAGCGTGATTTCGTGGATGATTTGAGATTTTTCATGGCCAGAGAAATCGAGAGCGAAACGGCGATGCTGCGTTTCTTTGTGAAACGATTTAGGTGAGGCTTGTGTTTTTTCTAATTCATTCTGATTCGATTTCTGATTTCTTTTACTTCTAATTCTGATTTCTAATTCAATTTTCAAAAACTACTATAGTCTTGACTCTATTTTTATCTAAACTAACGTAAATGTTGTATTAGTACGACATGTCGTTCTATTTTTCACTCAAATGGCCATTGTGGATCACAAAAAAGTATCCATTTCAAAGAAGCGTATTTGATTCAATAAGTATTAAAAACATCAATTTTAACAAATCAAAACGTTATGATTTGGTCCCGTACACGCAAAGAGAGTTTATGCCTTCGAAAGAAACTTTCTAACCATCCGTGACTTTTATTGAAATTGACCCTTGCTCTTGTAAATTCCATTGATGCCTTGTCCAGAACAATCCTTCAAGTGATTTACTTCTTATCGTCGCGTTGAGATCGACAACAGCAACTTTTTCAGCATTTATTGCTGGTTGAAGGTTGAATTTTCGAAGTTCTATCTTTTGGTCTAAAAACTTCTGAAAAAGTAGCCGTTGAAGTGGTTGAATCTCGTTTTTCCGCTATACATCTATTGACAATCAGCCCAACAAATGAACAGCTCTAGTAGGCTATAGTTTCAGAACAACGTCGAGAACAAGCATTACTTTACAGTTTACGGTTTTTGTGAAATGAAATTTGTAAAAAAGTAATGCTTGTTTGCCTGACATTTGCGTTTTAAACTTACAATTTTCTTATAACATTATAACATTTCTTATACATTAACATTTAGAAATTCACGTAAATTGATTCGAAGATATTGCTTAAATTCAGATTTATCATTCATTCATTTAACAACTTCGAATTTGAATTTGAATTTGAATTTGAATTTGAATTTGAATTTGAACTTGAATAGAATTAATTTATTCTTCAGTCTCTACAATTTATTCTTGTGTTCAATAAATTGTATTTTGTATTTTGCATAGTACTTGTAGATACTTGATTAGAGTTTGTTCCTCTTGAGAAATCACAAAGCTCAGGCAATGATATCAAAATTGAGCTAATCGGATGTAACTACGGTAGCTACGGTAGTTTGACTACGGTCGCTTTCTGAAAAAGGTGCCTTTTCGAAAACGAATTACTGAAGAGGAACACATTCTTTTCTTGGCCAATCCATTCAAGTTTTTTCCTTGCTTAAGCTCAATCTTCTAGTTTCTGACACCGTTTATTTTTCAAACCCATTGCCTTACTCAAAACTCCAAATTCTTGATCTTTGAATAATAAAAAATTATATAAAATCACCAAAAAAGCACAGCAAAACTTATAAAATGACAAAAAAATCAAAAACATTTTCATAAAAAAACCCATAAACAGCTCGTAAACGTTTTACGAGAAATTTGGGGTGACAAATTTTTTGAATAGATTTAAATAAACAAAAATTGTTGCCAAAAAAAATAAAATCAAAGTTTGAATACACAGGAGGTAAGTCATGATATTGTACCTTAAACCAGGAATTTTTGGAAAGAATCAAATCTAGAAAAATCTTTATTTGGTTAAGATCTCACCAGCAGAACAGCCTAACGGCGGGATGCTTCAGAAATCGTAGAAATGATTGCCAGAAATGATTGCCCTGTGTTGGAAAACCCCACCATGCAAATTTCAGCGTAAAATGCAAATTGTGGCGCAGTGGATAGCCGTGCTCGCCTTACACGCACATGACCCGGGTTCGACATCGATCACGGTATAAGGCGAATATACGTTTTCTTACAAATCAAAAATCTGGCTGCTAGAAAATGTTTTTGAATGTTTACTGAACTTAAAACAAAAAAAATTGAAAATTGGTCTATCCAAAAAAAGTTATTGCAATTTGAAGTTGTCCTAATTCCATGTGGTCGCCCTGTGAATTAAAAGAGCCAATTTTTTTTTACTTTTCTTCTTTTTAGTCGCATTTTAGGATTATTAAGCATGCTGAATCTGAATTTTATTTCAAAATTATAGATTGTTTGACACATTGTTGTTTGCCATTTTAGACACAAAATGAAAGTGATAAGGTACATGAGTCGCTGAAGCCACACGGGGAACATCATCGAATTCGTCACTTTGTACAAGAGATTGTACAAAAAGAAGAGCAGAGTCAAATCGAAAGCCAAAAAGCCGGTTCCCTGGGGAAATGTGGAAAGTTTTTTCATGTGTTTTCTAAACATGTACTTTTTTGAAAGTGCATTAAATTCGAGTGGAACACAAACTAATCGTAAGTCTGTAGATTTTTGCCAAAATTCCAAATTTCGACAATATGGCACCCTTGTTGTGTGGCTCCACTGTGATCTGATCTCGTTTTCGCATGCTCTCTTCATTTGGCTAACGATTGGCGGCCATTTGACCGTCACTTGGTTGACTGAACTGCTTTTAACCGTCGTTTAAGTTGCCATTTTCCCAAAAGTCGCGATGCCAGCACGATGGCCATGCAACGATATTTGACCCTCATCTTGCTCTTACAGGTGAAGTACTGGGTCTAATGCTTTCAGGTTCGAAACTCTGGAAGTAAATCAAATGCACCCTACACGAGACAGGGTGTAATTCAAATATCATTCTAAAGGAATGAATGAGAGTGCCTAAAAGGCAAATGAGAAAAAGAGAGACTAGTCGACTTTCGTGATTACTAATTCCTAATTTTGCATACAACACGCTTTTCCTTTTACTTTAACCGTGACTTTTATCCCTCTTTTGGCTCGGGGGATCTCTACTGATGAGAGGACCGCCAACAACAATCCTGGTCTAGAGTAGATCTTTGAAACTTTCCTCATCAATCACAAAAGTGAAAATGTTTATTCAACTGTCGTTTTCGTGGTACTTCTTGCAGCGGTGATGGTCATTGGTTGACGCTTTGGCTTGTCTTTTCTCTTTTTCAGAAAAAGGGCACTCGCAAAACTGAAACCAACTTTTTGCAAAACAACTTTATGTCTTAATGAAAAATTTTGTAGCTAAAAATTGTCACAAACAAAACAAAAGCATTATGGCTTTTTTTGATTACCTTGTTAACAGAGTGAAATACAAAAGTTGATTGAAACCCGTGAGGTTTCCGAAGATGATCACCGAAATGCGTCTACCAAAGAAAAGCGGTAGAATGAAAGCGAAAAGCTGCGTAACCAGTGAGTCGCACATCACCAGCGTTGAATAAATAATCATCTAGAGAATTTGTTTTCTGTTAAACTTATGAAAGTGCTTTGAAGTTTCTTTGCAACACTTTTATGTGTAGTTGGAATTCAAATGAAAACTTATAACTTGCCTGAAACATGAGCAATCGCTCGGCTCGAGAGACCGCACCGTCATTCTTCTTCAACTAAAGTTTCTTGTAAAAACAAAGTTATTTTTTTTTTGCATAATTGATTTTAAACTACCTTGAACTTTCTTTATCGACATTTAAAATGAATTACCTAGCTGGTAAATTGCTTTCAGAAAATTTAATTGTTTTCACATACTTGATTCATTTTTCGCTTTGTCACAAAATCGAGTGAGCACATCAAAAAGCCGGGGATCAAGATAATGGGATAATCGTAGAGATTAAATCCAATATCATCTTGAGTTTCAAAAAGGAGTTGAATCCGGTGAATGGAAACTCTCAATATTATTGGTGGTAACGGCTGTAGCCAAGGCCATTTTTGAGCGTATCGAAAATAGCGGCCATCGAAGGAAATGGCAATGAAACGGCTGAAAGGATGTGATGGAGATATTTGTTCTGTTGAGACTCAAATCTTTTAATAATTTCTTGGGAAATGTTCTATCGTACTCAAAATCTGCCTTACGGTTAACGGGAGGGGGAGAAGCCGAATTTTTGGTCAACTTGCAGCTCATTTTTAAGAATCTTAAACTTGTCAGATCAGGAAGTTTAATAAGATTTAGATAGTTTAAAATGTTAACTTTCAGAAACTATTTGTTTCATCAAAGGTTATTAACAAAAACCTATCTAAAATCGGGCTGAAAAATGGTCAAAAACTTGCCCCCTCCCTCCGTTAACTGTAAAGATCCTGATATTCAAATAAACAAAAAAGATTCAAAACTAAAAAACCCTAATGAGACCATCGTTTGCATATAAAGAGCCATGTCCAGTGCCCCATAATCGACGATATTCGAATAGATTTCATAAGTAATTTCCGTCGTTCCATCAGAGCATCTAAAAACCGATTTGAAACTTCCGATTTCTGCAAATCACAAATTTGGGAATAGTTCATAACAAAAATAGAAGCAAGTAAAGCTGAGAGCAAGAATGAACTTGCAGAGATTCTCCGAAGCGACTAGAATTCTGAAAAAAAGCTTTCAAATTTTAAGCTTGTCTAGAGTTTTCTAACCGAATGGGCAATGCAAGTCGATCATTTGTGATTGAGCAATAGGCAGCCAAAGGTGTTACAAAAAGGGTCAAAAGGAGGACCTAAATGCGAACGTTTGATCTAAGTAGATCTAAAAAAGATCTACCAAATATTTGACTAGATAACAAAGAAAATTTCTAACGTAAATTTATAAATAGAATCGATTTCCCAATTTCTTCCTAGATCTGGAAAAATGTAAGAAATTTTTGAGCACTTTTCACACAAATTCTTTCCCAAGCTTTTTTCCGCTTAAAACTTTACTAATAGCTTCGAAAAAATTGTAATACAAGATTTTCTAACATTTTAAAGACTTTTTAGAAAAAAAAAATCGATATTCTCCTGTTATCGGGAATAACAAATTTAAATTTAAATTTCTGCATTAATTTGCATTTCTGAAATGTGTAGCCATAACTCATTATTTGTATTTCTCTTTTACAATGCGGTTTCGTGATTTGCCAAGCACGGGAGAGGGTGCCATTCGCTTCTTGCAAGACTTCTTCAATTCTTCTTCACGCGGATCGTATTTGTGATAACGGCCATCTAACAAAGCTCTACACGGCACAAGGCAAATCTTTTTGGAAGTGCAACGTCAAATCCTGCCAACAAAAGAAAGGAATTCGTACAGGAACGTGGTTCGAAGGCAGTCGACTTGCTTTTGTCAGCGCGTTGGAATTCATTTACAGTTGGAGCTACGAAATTTCGTCGATCGAGTGGTGTGAGCGAGAAATCGGTCTTAACAAGAACAACGTCGTCGATTGGAATTTATATATGCGAGAAGTCTGCGATATAATAAATAATCAAATAGATCGACCCTGACTCGACTCCGACTCGATCCCGACTCGACTCCGACTTGACCCCGAATCGACCCCGACTCGACTCCATATCTGTTGCCGGTGCCGTTAAATGCAAATTTACTTTGTCATGCTAATTGACTTCTCCCGTATTCCCGATAACAGGAAAGTACCAAAAAATCTTCCCCAGAAAACTCACCACATTTGTGGCCGTCTCTAAGGCATCAGCAATTCGATTTGCGAGTTTTTTACTGACATCAATTTTTGGGTGCAATAACTTCCATTCAATTGATAGGTCGTAATAAATATAAAGAATTAAAATATAAAGAGATTCTAGTAGAAAGACGAGAAAAATGACGAGAAACAAGTCACAATACTCTCTCAGAAAAGCCGATTGTTTAAGCGATTTCCAAAAGAGAGGCATAAAGTTTTTGAAATAAAAACTTCTTCGCTTTTCAAAGGTTTTATTAAGTTCTGTGACATTTTCGAAAGAATTATGGTTTATGCAATTATGGTTCTGGAAAGCTGAAAATACATTCATTACAGGGTTAAAAGTGTTTTTTTGGGCGGGTAAGCGAGAAAATAATTGGAATCTTTGATTGAAAACACTTTTTTTCTCAAAAACTCAAGTATTAAACAACAAATGTGAAATAGGTACAACAGAATTGCCTCACGATTTCATAAATGCTAAAAACTTGCCTGAAATCATTTTTGAATTATGTAACCCGAACGAAAACGAATGAAGCAACATTTTTTACCTTTCGGATCTTTCTGATACCATTTAGATGTCATTTCAAGGTTACCTGTCTGCAGTTAAAAAGTCCACTAATCATAGCCACAAAATCATTGTGCAATCACAAAAAAATCACAAAAAATGTGCCACAAAATCAGCAATGCATGATGCAACACAATTCGTGAACAAAGCACTACAGAAATGGGCTCCTCTCCGTGTTCTCAACAAAAGAAGTCCACTTCAATTCATAAACTAAAGTTAAACATAAGCGTTTAATGCTGAAATAGTGACAATAAAAAAAGTGGCGACGGTTCCAAAAGATATTTTATATAATAAAGAGACTATATTAAATTGATCGTTGATTGGACAAAACATTTTTGTGAGTTGAAATGTGGAGAGTGTATAGTTTCATCACGAGTTTTTCTAGAAAGCGCCTGCTTGAAACTAATTTGTCGAATAAGGTAATTTTCTTTTAGAAATTCCTCAATCTTGGAAATTTCAATTAATTTTTGCTAAAAAAGCAAAGCACTGGAATTCACTTTATGTTAATTTATCACTACATCAGCGGAAAACGCTCACTAAAGTTCGCGTTTTCCACTGGGGAGGTCCACCTTTTCCACGCAATCTAAGCCCCGCACGTCCGCGCGAAATAAGGCGAAAAATGCGATCGCCGTTAAACTTGCTCACGGTAAGTGCTATTCGATGCGAAAAAATGTCCTGAATTCAAATTTGGAAGAATTTTTCGAATCCGTCTGACAGATTTTTTTTAAATCGAAAAAAAATCGAAAAAATCGCTATTTTTCCATATAAACGCCAAAATGGCCTCTCTTTTACAGGCTGGTTCTCGGCGAAAAGGAAATTTTGGTGAGCGTCATATACCAAACTTTATGCTCAAGGGTCTTGTGCACATTTTGACACCAAAACGAGATCAATTGGGTGAATTTGTGAAAAGTTGATGCCTTTTGAACGCAAAAGTAGCGTTTTTCAACTTTCTGCGCGCTAAAGCGTGGGTAAACTACCGTAACCATTACAAAAAAAAAACAAAATTATAAAACAAACAAATGTGTTTTCAATTTCTTCACTTCTGATCAAAACATTTGCTCTTTTTTTATTGTTTACATAATTTTGTTTCCAACTAATGATTTGTATTTTACAGGTAGAGAAATGCCTCAAATCAACAAGAAACGTAAAATGGGGAAAGAAGCCTATCGAATCAGGATATCAGCAGAAAGCAATCGAAAGTTCAACAAGGAAAAAATGCGAAAAGTGAGATTGGTCAAGACTCTCAAGCAACAAATGAAGCGATCAGCTCATGCTCGACAAGCTTTACCTCTTCATATCGCCAACAACATTCGTAAACGATATTTCCAAAGAAATCTGTCTTCGCAGCATGGTTTGGCAATCATATCGCCTATTTCTCCAATTCAAACATTGGCACTTTTTGCTAAATCTAAAGTGACGAGAGATGCACACAGAGCATATGGAAAGGCCACAGGAATTTTTCCAAGTGAGTATCGTCTGCAAGAGTTAAAGAAGAGCTTTCGGTCTAACGTTGAATATGTGTTCACTGGAGGGATTATCAAATTAAAGAATGTGCTTCAAGCTGTTCAATTCAGGCTTTCTCGCGTAGAAGACAGTGAAAAGAAAAGGATAGTGCTAATGTGTGACAAAGGAGCTGATACTGAGTTGACTTTGATGCTCCCGGACAAAGCTGAAAAACCACAATCCTGCTACAATCAGTTTATTATAGCTGTTTGGTTCGGATATGACAACAACCAAAACTTGCAAAAACTTAATACAATTTATGACGAATTATTGCCACTAGGTTTGCAGATTTTTTTGGGTGGAGATTTAAATTTTTTGGCATCAGCATATGGCCTTTCAAACGCTTCATCATTCCCATGTGTTTGGTGCGAATTTCGAGCAGATAAGAAGAGAAAAGTACCTGGACAGAAGTATCCTCTCGATCGAAATACCTATTCCAAAAGAACCTTGAAGTCATTGGATGCCTGTCTTGTTGCTCCCGATTCTGACAGTCGAAAAGGAGTGCTTCGCTCATACGTTTGGAAAATTGAGCCTAGACAATGCGTGCCACCGATTCTGCATCTGAAACTTGGTTTTGGGAACTTGATTTTTAAAGCTATGAAAGACGAGATGGATATCAATGCGACAGCTAAGAAAAATTTTGAAGATCTGTCAACTCGACTTGGTTTCGAAAAGTCCTTCAAATCCGATGACTTGAATGGTCCTAAGCTGAAAAAGCTTTGTCTACATCGCGCCGAATATCGAAAGTTGTACACGTCACGTAGATACAGATTTCTATGTAGTTGTTTGGATCAATTCAACAAATTTTGCGAGGTTTCCACTACAACCAAGCCAAAATTGCTGCCCGATGAGCGCAAAAATATTATCGAAGAAAGCGGAGATTTGCTAACTTCCATGGAAGCCCTAGAAATTGGAACGCGTTCAGTCAAATCCCATGTAGTCATAAATCACCTGAAAGAGTTTCTGGAAGACAATGAATGTTGGGGAAACATGGCAGAAGAGGGCCTAGAATCGCTACATTCAATTTTTTGGCAATTATGTAAAAGAATCAAGCG